TCTCTCTCTCAACCAACCCCCTTTGTAAACACTTAGTTCATAGCTTAGTTTGTAAATCGAGTTATCCTAGTCGAGATACTTCTTTTGATGATTTACCCCAATACAAAAACTTGGGGTTCAAATAAGACGTTTTTAACTTGAAACTATTATATATTAGTTGATTACTTTATTTGAATTAATAAATATAGATATCTTATAATTAACTATATAAAAAACGAAAATATAAATATAAAAAAAAACTACCCATTCAAATTGGGTGGGAGTAGTTTCAAGTTGGAGTTTTAAAATTATTTTAAAATAAAAAATCAAAAAAAAATCTATAAAAAAACAAAAATAAAAAGAGAAGAAAAACTACCCATTCAAATCGGGGAGTAGTTTCAAGTTGGAGTTTTAAAATAATTTTAAAATAAAAATAGATATCTTATAATTAACTATAATTAGAAAATAAAAATATAAATATATAAAAAAGTAATTACCCGTTCAAATTGGGTGGGAGTAGTTTCAAGTTGGAGTTTTTAAATTATTTTAAAATAAAAAAGCTATAAAAAACGAAAAAAAGAGAAAAAAAACTACCCATTCAAATTGGGGAGTAGTTCAAGTTGGAATTTTAATATAATTTTAATATAAAAAACACAATTAAAAAAATAATAAATTACCAATTCAAATTGGGGAGTAGTTTTAAGTTGGAGTTTTAAAATTATTTAAAAATAAAAAAACAAAAATAAAGTAATAAAAAAAACTTCAGAGAAAAATATTAAATAACGTAATATGCTAATGAAACTTTCTATTAACAAAGTAATAGTATTAAATATTGAAAGATATAATAAAGAAAAATACATAACAAAAACGTTATTCGATGCGCTGCCTGTATAAGTCCCGTTAGTTTAACATAGATTTTATTCACTAAAATTTAGATATTATTATTAAGAACAACATAATAAAATAAAATAAAAAAATCAATAGTAATAAATTATATATCTTCTCATATATTACAAAAAGAAAGCGAATACTAAATATTGTTTAATATAATAAAGAAAAATAGAACAAAAAAGTTATTCACTGACTATATAAGTACGTTTGATTTAATAGAGATCTCATTATTGGGTATATCGTATTGACAAACAAGATGACAATTGAATTTTATTAAAGCAATACGATCTAATAGGATCAAACAAGCCTGATCATAATTTAATTTAATTAATATTTTTTTAATATTGACCGCGCATCGCGCAGGTACGACTACTAGTTTTAATTAACAATTAAGGTGTTGATTTTCTTTTTTTGTTTTTTTTATATTTGAAGATATAAGAAAAATTCAGTTGAACTTATATTTCATTTTTAATGTAAAACGTTTATTTACCTACAGAATTCAAATAACTACCATATAGATATTTAAATATTTTAAATTCAAATTTAAAAAGATAACTAATTATTAACAAACTAACTAATTTTGTTCTAAAGTTGTGATATGGCATTTTCTTTACGCTGACACTTGGCAAAATCTCATAGATGACTTTCTTCTTTTTAATAATTAATAATAGATAGATAGATTTTTCTTCTAATTACACCAACTCTTATTACACGTTGGTTCTTCGAGTTAGTATACCTTTTATTTGGTGAAAATTTAATTTATCGAACAAAATATACATATACTAAGTTTTATCGGGTAAATGGAAGAATATTTTGTTAAATTATGAAAAATTATTTATCGAGTAAATTTTCTTGAGTAAGTTTTATTAGGTAAAAGGGAGATTACCTAATGACAAAAAAATATTTGTTGAGTAATATGACTTGCAAAGGAGTTCTGTATCCTCCAACAAAAGTCAAGTCTTTGGGGAATGGCCACAGCCTCCTGATACTAATAAATTAGGAAGACAATGACATATCGAATTAAAATCACAATTCCGAAATTTCCATCTTGTTTCACTACTCAAATGTTAGAAACAGCACAATCAGCAATAGTTTAGTGCCGTTGTCCAGAGGCTGCTTTTTAAAAAAAATGACCACGACCCAGTAAAATTTCACTAATGAGATCTGGAGAGGGTAGTGTGTACACAGACCTTACTCCTATATAGGGGTGTCAATGGTTCGGTTCTGCCGGTTATTTTATAAAATTTGTACCATACCAATTTTTCGATTATTCTATTATGTATAACCAAAATTAGACTTTTCAAAACCGTCCCAATCATGCCGGTTTTACTTCGGTATCGGTACGGTTCGGTTAATTTACAGTATTTTTTTAAATGTCATGTAAAATTCACCAGTAAAAGTAGAATGCAATAACATACGTTCTTTTATAGGATTTAGCAAAACTCTCTAGACATTTTTACTGTTTAAAGGATAATGAATTAAAAAACATGAAAGATGGCTAGAGTATAGATACACAACTATTCGACAACAACGTAAAAGAAACCAAGTAAAAGCAAAGAAAATATAAATCACACGAGCTGAAAGATATTAACCAAGTTGGGACTCAAGAATAAAGTCTATATTAAATATTCAAAAAAATAAATCTAAATTATTTGAAAGGAAACATATTCAATACATTATAGTTTGCTACTCATAATCGCTAGAATATTTTGTGTCTTGCTAATAAAGATACTTGAAATAACTTAGTTTAAGTATAAGTAGCATAATAGGTTTTAGAAATTACTAGTATTTTGAGTTTAATTAGTTATTGGCTTGTAACAGTTTTCATAATTCTAAGACCCAATGAAAAATTTAATGCATTATTAGTTTTAAACTTACTATATAAATATATTTTTCCCATGTAAAATTTATTCGGTACGGTTCGGTGTTTTTTCAGTTTATTTTTATAAAATAAAAAACCTACCTTAATTATCGGTACGGTTATAAATTTATATAAAAGCCTACGTTTCTTTAAAAGAAACCTAAAAATCGGTTCGGTGCAGTAAGGTTCGGTCGATTTTTAAATATCCATTGACGCCCTGAATAGAGAGGCAGTAAATATTCAAACACATGCTAGCAAATTTCAACACGCACATAGCGCGGAATTTGGCTCTCAAGTCTAAATCATAATTGTATATAGGCGACCAAATACTTAGGCATCATCAAGTCATCAATAATGGAAGCTAGTTTCTTCCTACTTTTTGTGTTGTCTTTCTACTCTACCATACACAAGATTTCAAGTACAACAGATGTAATAACTACAGATCAATTCATCATAGATGGTCAAACTGTTGTTTCAACTGGTGAAACCTTTGAGATGGGATTTTTCAGCCCCAATGGTTCCTCAAAGCGATATATCGGTATATGGTACAAGCAAATTCTCCCTGTGCAGACAGTTGTATGGGTTGCCAATAGAGAAAAACCACTCACCAATAAATCTTCAGTTGTTTTGAAGGTCACTAAGCCAGGAATACTTGCTCTTCTCAATGGTAAGAATGAAATTATATGGTCCACTAACACCTCAAGATCAGTCCAACATCCAGTTGCTGTGCTTTTAGATTCTGGTAATCTTGTTGTAAAAGATGCAAATGATGGCAACCCAGAAAATTTCCTCTGGCAGAGCTTCAATTTTCCAACTGATACGCACTTGCCTGGTATGAAGCTCGGCAAGAATCTTAAAACTGACCATGAGGCTTACCTTTCAGCATGGAAGACCGATAATGATCCAACACCTGGAGAATTCACTCGTCACATTGATCCTACTGGATATCCGCAGGCCCTAACCAAACGTGGCACAAGTGTATCAGTTCGTGCAGGACCATGGAATGGTTTAAGATTTAGTGGGATACCCAAACAACTACTAACACAAAGCAGCATTTTTACATTTCAATTTATTTTCAATATAGAGGAGGTCTACTATATTTTTTCAATCATTAACAGCTCAGTTTTATCAAGACTAGTCCTCACTAGCAATGGTTATGTCCAACGCTTGACGTGGGTGGCTCGGACCAAGAGTTGGCATATTTACTACAATTTACCTTCCGATAACTGTGATACATATAGCTTATGTGGTGCCTATGGGAGCTGTGACATAGATAATTCCCCTATTTGTGGATGTTTAGAAAAGTTTGTAGCTAAATGTCCACAACAATGGGAAAAGGGAGATTGGTCAGAAGGGTGTGTTCGGAGGACACCTCTTGATTGCAAAAAGGAACATGTATTTCTTAAGTATTCTGGAATCAAGTTGCCGGATACTAAGTACTCTCAGTATGATAAGACCATGACACTCGAAGGCTGTAGGCAAGTATGCTCCAGGAACTGCTCTTGCACAGCTTATTCAAGTCTAGATATAAGCAATGGAGACAAAGGTTGCTTGTTTTGGTTCGGGGAGTTGATTGACATCAGAAAGCTGTCTGAAAGAGGGCAAGACATTTACATCAGAATGGATTCTTCGGAGCAAGGTAAGAACTTATGTTTAAGAAATTTCCAATGATGTGTTTTTAAACTTAGTTTTTCAACACATGGAGACCATATTATGCAACAATAGTGGCCTATCTCGATCTGCAGTGGCTGATAGAAAAATTTGGTTGTAGTAGCTGAGGCAGGTTCAAATAGAAAGAAGGCAAAGATACTCACAGGGAGTATCTCATTGTTGATGGCAATGATTTTGCTGGGCCTGATTCTGTTATACAAACGGAAAAAGAAGAAGAAACTGAAACTTGACGAAGATTTTGAGCTGCCACAGTTCCAGTTGTCGACAATAACAAGAGCTACAAATAACTTTTCGCTCAACAACAAGATTGGAGAGGGTGGATTTGGACTTGTTTACAAGGTAAACAGTGAAAACTTGTTGGAAGAGTAACTAGTTTATGATCAAGATTAGTGTGGTAGAGATTATTTTCATTCTGCAATTGATTCTCATCTTTGCAAGATCTATGTTCTCCTGATATACTTTTGCCATTTCTAGGGAGTGTTGGAAGAGGGACAAGAAATTGCTGTGAAGAGACTCTCGAGGACTTCAATGCAAGGACTTGATGAATTCAAGAACGAAGTTATTTATATTTCCAAGCTTCAGCATCGAAATCTTGTGAGACTTCTAGGTTGCTGCATTCAAGGGGAAGAAAAGATTTTGATCTATGAATACATGTCTAACAAAAGCCTGAATTCATACATATTTGGTTTGGATTTCTAACCTACTACACAAGCTAAAATGAGTAATACTTTGATCTATTAGTCATAACATGTACGTTCAGACCAAGGCAAAGCATGATTACAAACACTGCTAACAAGAAAGCTTATTTTGTAGATCAAACAAAGAAAAACTTACTTGATTGGCCAAAGCGTTTCGGCATCATAAACGGAATTGCTCGTGGCTTATTATATCTCCATCAAGATTCTCGACTACGGATTATCCATAGAGACCTTAAAGCAAGCAATGTTTTG